TCAGACAAGGGTCTGCTCTCTAGAATTTATAAAGAACTAAAATATACTAGGAAACCAAAATTTAAAGACCCAATCCTGAAATGGGCATCCGAGATGAAGAAACACTTCTTAGAGGAAGAAACTAAAGAAGCTAATAAATATATGAAAAAATGCTCCACATCACTAGCCACCCACGAAATGCAAATTAAAACAACATTTAGATAACATCTCACCCCAGAAAGAATGTCTATCATAAAGAAATCACCCAACAACAAATATTGGAGAGACTGTGGGGAAAAAGGATCCCTTGTCCACTGCTGGTGGGAATGTAGAGTGGTGCAACTGTTATGGAAATCAGTATGGAGACACCTTAGAAAAGTTGGACTGGAAATCCCATTGAAACCAGCTATTCCTTTACTGTGAATTTTCCTAGAGGATCTGAAAACATCATGTAATATTGATATATGTGTGCCTATGTTTATAGCAGCACAGTTTGTGATAGAAAAATCTTGGCAAAAACAAAGATGCCCATCACCTGAAGAATGGTTGAAAAAGATGTGGTATTTTCACACAATGGAGTATTATTCAGTTATTAACAATAATGAACATGAAGCCTTTATATTGAAATGGCTGCCTCTTGAACATATACTCATAAGTGAAATAAACCAGACACACATGTGTAATTATCATATACTTTCCCTAGATTAAGAACTCAAAAGAAGAAATACAATAAGAAAGGTATAATACAAGCAAAGCAGAGCAGGATCTGGAGGACTAACTAATTAAGTGAGGGAAAGGAGAAGAGCTAGGAAACATGAAGAAGGCAAGCCATACACTTATATGTACAAGATGAGCAAGGCAATGATCCTGAGAATCTCCACAAGATTTTTGAATCTAACAGTCAATTGGAAAGATTCTCACCCTAACTATATATACTGATACCTGAGACCTAAGGTACTGCACTGCAGATGGTAATTTGTAATAGTAGTTTCATGTTTGGAGCGACTGTCATTCTGGTCTTCTGAATATGGGCTGCTTGTCATGACATGCCAGGTTCTCCTATGATGTCTCTCATGTAGATGGTTGTTCAAAAAGAAGGGGGTGGTGAATGAAAACAAGAGACAGGAAAGGGAATATTGTGGGAATGTCCTTCTTCAAGGTTGTATATGGTAATGTTTTTGGAATGACCTGTAAACATAAGATGTATATAATTCTTTATGCCTATTTTTTAATATACTCTAATTTTTAAATATTTTTTACCATATTCTGTAGGGACTTAAAGTTCAACACATCAACACTGGATGAAAAATACCTGTTCCACATTATGCCTTATATGTTTGATATGCAGATATTGAGATTAAGTTTAACAGCCTTAATTGTATGGTAATAACAATAAGCTAGTCTACTGGATGGTTAACAACCTAGGTTTTCAGACCAAATGAAGAGAAAAAGGAGTGCTGCAAGAAAAGCCATCATTTTGACCCCAGCCTTCTAAGCTCAATTAAGACTCAGGACATATGAGAACTTGTACTCTAATGTCATGTAACTCAGTAGTGTCCAAAATTTTCTGATCAAGGAGATTATGGGGCCAAAGAGGAAAGTGATTGATTGTGTAGTGTGTGCCTAAGGAGAGTCACATGGTGAGAAACACACTCTCTCAAGCATTCACAGTGAGCACATTGGCCAAGCAATGGCCGTGACTCATCCACATGACTGACACTGACAAATGTTCTTCAATCTCAGGTACAGGATCTCAGGATAAATCACGAGGGAATTTCACTGACCTTATGAGGCCCATGAGCTACAACTCTTGCATATGTCCTGCTTTACCTTGGTTTTAACCATCCAGCAGAAAAGTA